AAAAGAGTGAATATCAACTGTTAGTGAAACAACCAACTGTTACAACTAGTGAAGGAACATATCGAGTAATATTAAAGAATAATCTTGGAGAAACGGAATCAACACCATGTGTATTGACTGTATTGGAACCAGTTAAATTGACAAAGATTGCTCCAACGCCAGAAGTAGTTGATCTGAAAGTTGGTGAACCATTTGAGATCTCGTTTGACATCGGTGGTAAAGAAGCACCTAAAGTACAGTTATTGAAAGATGGAAAAGAAGTGAAGTTCACAAGTGTTGAAGGTACACGACATGTATATTCAGTTCCTGAAGTGAAACCAGAGCATCAAGGTGTATACAAACTGATAGCAAAGAACAAAACATCAGCTGAAGAGACAAACGTGACACTCAATGTTACTGGTTAGTTGGATTTGTTTTCTGGTATTGTTCCCGCCTCATGTTTAGGAAACAATAGATCAAGATGTAGAATTGAATATTCTTGACCTTTGAGTTATCCAGAACTCAATTTGATCAGTACATTCGTATATGAGAGAAGTGGTATGCATTGGTGCTCAAAACCATGCAATTTCATCAAAACGATCGAGTCCGTCAATGAGATAAAAACTTACAACAAAAGAATCTTGAAAATTTTTTCTTTCCTCCCGTCGCTATAAAAAATATTCATTGATAGATACAATTGTTATGCATTGATTTTAATATAAAGAAGTACAGAAGACGAGTTGAAGTTATCATTCTTCGTTCCTAAATACAAGCTATTATTAGAATCTTCTGAGCACGGGTTCCTTCTTACCTATTAATTTATTCTCAGTTTAATATTCTCATGACAGCGTTACTGCAAAGTTAAACATAGATCATATATATCGAAAAACATAGACGGACAATCACAATATCTATCGATAGCAGAGATCACACAAGAAACGAAAACGAACAAAACCAAAAGAACTAATAACAGCATTGTGTACCTATCATCTATGTCAGTCATCTTTCATTTTTAATATTGCATACACAAATCTTCATCTAAGCAATATTAGTAAAGCCTTTTTAATTCCAGCAATTCATGTATAAAACAATATTTGATATAAAAAAGAACAACGCCAATTGATTATAATCTTTTTAGCACCACTGAGCGTATCACAACCGTTATCTGATATTAATGTACTTCTTGGTCAACCTGGTACTTTCAATCTAACATGTGATGCGTTTCCTACACCAAAAGTTACATGGTCAGTAAACTAATTTCCAATTGAAAAATAATTATTTCTTTTCGTTTCAATATCATTAGGTTCTTCAACGATACTGAACTGAAAAATTCTCCAAAACACAAAATTGAAACAAAACAAAATGTATTTTCTCTAACTGTTAACAAATGTGATCATCCTGATGTTGGCATTTATCGTGTACTCATCGACAATGGAATTGATCATACTGAACAAACTGCTAAACTTCACGTCGGAGGTATATATGTTCTATTCTCTAATTTACAATACTTTACTTTTCTTTTTCAGTGAAACCGAAAGTTGAAGCCGCAAAACCAGCCAATGATCAGACATGCATCATCGGTCAAGATACTCAAATCTCATGGAAATTTAGTGGTGTCGAAAAACCTCAAGTAACTTGGCTCTCCAATGGACAACCATTACCCACTAATGAACGCTTCCAAGTCACTGAAACTGAAGATGGAACATCAACATTATCTATTCGACATGCTGAACTTACTGATAAAGGTGTTTATACTGCTAAAGCAACAAATGCAGTTGGTGAAGCTGAAGCTAAAACAACATT